AAAAAAATTATTTATAAAATTAAAAATTAGTTTCTTAGCATATATAACGTCGGAATAATAATTTGATTGAGTTTACTATTCAAAAATATATAATATATTATATTATAAAAATACCTTTATTTTTTAAATAATTATATTTTTTATATTATGTGCATGGAATATATAATAAAAATTTTATTTTATTTCATTCTCAATTGTGTAAATAAATTTTTGAGTTTTGTTGTTAATATCAAAATTATTCTTACAAACAAATCGTTCTAATTAATTTTTTTTACTATGCTCAATATTTTATTATTCCAACATTATATATGCTTAAATACTATTTTTATTTTTAAATTATAAATAAAATTTATTTATTCTATAGGTAAGTCCATAATATAAATTAAAAAGAGAAAAAAATTAAAAAGTTAAAAAATAAAAAGATGATAAAAGTTTATATTTTGGGGGGTAACAATAGGTATTTGGCAATCAAAAGTTTGAGAAATCTAGTTGAGTGGCCTTCTGAGTGCTGTAGACATAGTTTAGTGATTTTGCTGTTACAAACGAAGAAAGATGACTTTAGTAGGTAATTTCTGATAGTTGAGTGACCATTTGAGTAATGGACTCATGTTTAATACTACACAAGAACTATTAAATAATCAAATTTTAAAGAAGGGGAGGGAAAAGGAGACCTTTTACTATTGTTATTCTTATATTATTTACATCTATTAAAGGAGAGTTGGTTTTGTAGTGCTTTAAAAATTTGTACAATTACTGTGTCACCAATTATTTTTCCAATCAAAACATGAAAATGATTAAAAATAAGATAAAGACATTTTCATGAATAACTTCCTTAGTACAAAACACACCCCAAGTGTTACAGTAGTATATTAGTTTGGATTAAAGTAAATAATTACATTATACATTTAGATTGAAGACAAGTTACCACTAATTTAATTGCGACCCTTATCCCACCAATACTCATGTTTAGATCAATGCATTGTTGTTCGCATAATCCCACCTTATCTTGTTTGATCGGACTCTAGTTTTTCTTCTTTTCTGCTTTGACTTGGATATTTTCTGTAATTTTCGGATGATCACTAAATTGATATTTCAATCTGTTGAACAGATAACACATTTCAAATGTGGGGGAGTTTCCCTTGGTGTGGGCATGCAACATCACGCAGCAGATGGAGCTTCTGGTCTTCACTTCATCAACACATGGTCCGATATGGCTCGTGGTCTGGACCTCACCATCCCACCTTTTATAGACCGGACCCTCCTCCGTGCTCGTGATCCACCTCAGCCTCAGTTTCCCCACGTCGAGTACCAGCCACCTCCCACTCTCAAAGTAACTCCGGAAAACACCACCAACCCTGAAGTTGTTCCTGAAACCAGCGTGTCCATCTTCAAATTAACCCGTGATCAAATCAATACCCTCAAAGCCAAGTCCAAGGAAGATGGAAATACTGTTAACTACAGCTCCTATGAGATGTTGGCAGGACATGTGTGGCGCTCCACGTGCATGGCACGAGGACTCGCTCATGATCAAGAAACCAAATTGTACATAGCAACTGATGGACGTTCCAGGCTTCGGCCCTCTCTCCCACCAGGCTATTTCGGTAATGTGATATTTACTACTACTCCTATTGCAGTGGCTGGTGATATCCAATCAAAGCCTATTTGGTATGCTGCCAGTAAATTACACGATGCATTGGCTAGAATGGACAATGACTATTTAAGATCAGCTCTTGATTATTTGGAGTTGCAGCCTGACTTAAAGGCTCTTGTTCGTGGTGCACATACATTTAAGTGCCCCAATTTAGGAATAACTAGTTGGTCTAGGCTGCCAATTCATGATGCTGATTTTGGCTGGGGTAGGCCTATATTTATGGGACCTGGTGGTATTGCTTATGAAGGTTTAAGCTTTATATTACCAAGTCCTACCAATGATGGCAGTCAATCAGTTGCCATCTCGCTACAAGCAGAACACATGAAACTTTTTGAGAAGTTCTTGTATGACTTTTGAAAGAAACCAAATCTGTGTGCTGCTTCTTTTGGGGTTTATATTGATGGACATGTAAAAGAGACTCTTTTTATTTTTTTCATTGGAGGTTGTTCTTTCTTCTTCTTTTTTCCTCAGTGGAACTTCGGTCATATTCATAATAGACTTCAGTTCTATTTCTGCTTGTATGCTGCATGGATTAAATTCTTATAGCTGAACTGTTAGTGTTTTGTGCTGTGAGAGACCTCAAGTTATTTTCACTTCCTTAGATTGTAGCGACATTTTTAGGACATGTTGAGTGGAAAAAGCCGTTCTGGGAAAAGAACTTGTGTGCATCTGGTTACTATGAAAAACTAGAGATATCATATTGCATATACTGACTTAAGCAGAGTGTATAAGAAGTTATAATATGCTCAACCTGTTTATTACAGCTACCCACGATCTCCCTGTTGAGTATTACATAAAAATAGGAGTCAGATTTGACACTAAGGACGAGTTAACTATTTCCATCAGCGGTGTTAAAGTTTGCTACGTTGCTAGAGCACCACCAATTGACACCGTAAAACATATAAATTGCTTCTTCCCTTGACATAGAAAAACACTAAAAGCATTTTCTATAAACTTGTCTAACAGACATTGGTCCCAAAATTTCCAATCTGTAACATTTTAGCAGTGTTAGTAAAAGAGTTCTTCGCACTGATTAATTCATGTTCTGTGTACATGACTGCTTGATCATATTTTTGCTGTAATACACACTGATGAAAGACTTGTATGATGCATCACCAATCTTACCATGTTACACAACACATCTGTTTATTAATAGACATACAACTTTACTTAAAGAAACCAACAGAATCTTACTCACAGAGTCACAACCACAATGAGGATAACTGAAAAAAGAAAGAAAAATGTTTGATCTGTCCTTCGAACACCTTAGGGAATGACAAAGCGCAAAACCAGGAAAACAAGCAAGCTAGACATTAAATCAGTAGTTGACATGGAGATGGAGGGCCTCTTAAGTGTTACAGCTGAATTTCTAATAGTACGTGGCTGACGAGCAATACTTCCACCCCCATTTGATCCCTTTCCTCTCTGATTTTTCTCAACATCTGGTATAAAATTCTTGGTTGCTAACTCAACCTTGCTGTTGTCACTTATGTTTGCAACAGCGCTCTCACTGTTTCTTTCTGGTGCACGAGCAAGATGTTCCGAGACATGGACATCTCTGTTTTTAGATGTATGAGAAATTTCAGAAGCCCTGATTGTTACTGCTACAGTGTATAACAGGATACAGAAACAAGGAAAGAAAGCAATTCTCATTTTTCGTTGGATCTAAATGTCTTTATTGGTCTCACTAGTCTTTCCTTTTCTTATAGCCTGTCGAAAAAGGATAGAATTAAAAGAGCAAAAGTACGAAAATTAGGCGGTGGTGAGTGAATAATGGTGAACTATTTAGCTTTGGACCAAAGCTAGGGCTAATCTTGATGAGTATACAGGTTGTTATATAGGATCTTCTTCTTCTAGGTGGTGTTATGTTATTGCTACTTTTTCTCAAATTTGGTCCCCTTCCCCTTTTCCTTTAATCTTCATTCACTTTTTAATATCATATGCCTCAACCCCAGAGATGGGACCAAAATGTTTTTGGTCTTTGAGACTTGCCTTTTTGTATTCTATGCGAAAGTTCCTCTTTAACTTGTGCATATGAACAACCTAGCTGTAGTACATTTGAAGAGCAAAGTTAACCATTTTATGCTCATTAGAAATTGTATTCTTAACAAAAGTAATCAAATTTAAGATATAATCCATCATTTTTTGATCATCCATGTGTGAGTGTGACACATGTTATTTCATGCTAAATAGGATTTTGAATGCTTAACAAACTTGAAAGAGTGTGTTGTTTTGTAGTTGAAGTGTTTGGAATCTTCTAATTAGTGTTGGTGCAGTTGTGGGCAAGGTGGCTTATAGCTTATCAGATCAGGTCAAAGTGGTTCCCTTATATTATTTGTGGCAACACAGATAGACATTGTTATGCTTTGATGCTTCTTAAAGCTGACATTGACACATTCTTGACAGCTGATGGTTGAGAATAAAGGGTTAAATTCCAACATTTTCTAGACGTTCTGTTATTTATTTTTTCCATCTACTCAAGAGAATATGATGCCCTCCTTTTTTCTTCTAACCAAAGTGTTAAAAGAGTCTAACTGAAGTTTTCTCATAGAGGCCTCACTTCCTCAGGCATGTTTGTAGGGCCTCAAAAGTAATGCATTCTTGGTTATGCAACTTCCCTAATTTAGAGGGGAAAAAAGCGATCACCTCTTGAGCTCAGCTTGAACTCGGGTTGGCTGGCGGGCTAAATTCACCTCTGCATATTTGTTCCCATCCAGCCAGTCAATTGTCTCGTCCACAGCCCTTTTAAATCTTCTGGTTGTCCGAAGGATACAATTTCGCAAAGGATCTCTCATCCCTCACTGTATTCCTCATCTTATAGGCATAGTTCTTGAATGCGTTTTGTGCCTCTCAGCTTCTTCATTCTTTGTTCTCGGCTGACATATTCAGTATGCTGTTAGCAAAAATGTCAAAGCAGATATTGATCTGTGTCACACCTCTTAATGCTAGTGTGGGATACCCTTAGAGCTCAAATTTCATAAGATGATTATTATGCTTGGTCATCGGCCTCTCCTTCACACACCTAAATGAGAGAAATCATTGTGATCGCTAAACATATCGTGAAATTTTTTTTATTTGGCATTCGACTTTTCTGTATTTACACGCTACTCAATCTCGGATACTATACAGAAGCCAACATATCAATTTTACTGCTACACATAACTCTTGGTTACCTCTGCAAATATTTAAAGTTAATGTTGTAGCTTTCATGCTATTGGTAATTTCTATGTCCTACTTTTGAAACGTTATTTGCATTGTGCTACATCAGTCAATCAAGATATTGCAAGAAATTGCAGATAAGAAGCAAATAAATCACATAACCAAACTCTAAATATAGTTGGAAAAGAACTAAGATGAAAAATGAGTTTTATTTAGATAAACATAGAGATTTACATAGTTTATAGTAATTGTTTCTCTCTCACAAAAACTGGACACTCAACAACTTCCTGCAACTCAAAGTAATAACTAACTAGTAGATAACTAAAACAAAAATATCCAGCAAAGTAACATATCATCTTTAATCCACTTCTTCAATTTTAGGCCCTGCACCATTATTTGTTGATCCAGCTTTACCATAACCAGCTCCAGTGTCAGCACTGCCTCCCATGGGCACATCTCCACCTTGGTACATTTTCGCGATAATTGGGTTGCACAAGTTCTCCAACTCCTTCAGTTTATCCTCAAATTCATCTACTTCAGCCAATTGATTCCCTTCCAACCAATCAATCGTCTCGTCCACAGCCTTTTCAATCTTCTGCTTATCAGAAGGATCCAATTTCCCTGAGAATTTCTCATCCCTCACTGTATTCCTCATGTTGTAGGCATAATTCTCCAATGCATTCTTCGCCTCGACTTTTTTCTTCATCGACTCATCCTCTGCCTTATACCTCTCAGCTTCTTGAACCAACCTCTCAATTTCTTCCTTGCTTAACCTTCCTTTATCATTTGTAATGGTAATCTTGTTCTTCACACCAGCAGTCTTGTCCTCAGCCGACACGTTGAGAATACCATTAGCATCAATGTCAAAACAAACATTGACCTGAGGTACTCCTCTTGGTGCTGGTGGAATACCCTTGAGCTCAAATTTCCCAAGAAGGTTGTTGTCTTTAGTCATTGGCCTTTCTCCTTCATACACCTGAATGAGCACACCTGGTTGATTGTCCGAATAAGTCGAAAAGATTTGCTCTTTCTTTGTCGGAATGGTTGTATTTCTTGGAATCAAAACAGTCATCACACCACCAGCAGTTTCAAGACCAAGACTGAGAGGTGTGACATCAAGAAGCAGCAAATCTTGAACTTTTTGGTCACCTTCTCCACTCAAAATTGCAGCTTGAACAGCAGCACCATAAGCCACAGCCTCATCAGGATTAATACTCTTACAAAGCTCCTTACCATTGAAAAAATCTTGCAACAATTGCTGCACTTTGGGAATCCTAGTGGAGCCACCAACAAGAACCACATCATGAACATGGCTCTTGTCAATCTTTGCATCCCTTAAACATTTCTCCACAGGTTCCATACACTTTCTGAACAAATCCATGTTCATCTCCTCAAATCTTGCCCTTGTAATAGTAGCATAGAAATCAATACCCTCGTACAGAGAATCGATCTCAATCGTTGTCTGAGCAGTCGACGAGAGAGTCCTTTTCGCCCTTTCGCAAGCAGTCCTTAACCTCCTCAGAGCTCTAGCATTGCCGCTAATATCCTTCTTGTGCTTCCTTTTGAACTCTTGCACAAAGTGATTAACAAGTCTATTGTCAAAATCTTCACCGCCCAAATGCGTATCACCAGCCGTCGCCTTAACTTCAAAAATTCCTTCTTCAATAGTCAATAACGAAACATCAAAGGTTCCACCACCAAGATCAAAAATCAACACGTTCTTTTCGCCACTTTTCGACGCCTTTTTATCCAAACCATAAGCAATTGCTGCAGCTGTAGGCTCGTTAATAATCCTCATAACATTAAGCCCCGAAATAGCTCCTGCATCTTTCGTAGCCTGCCTTTGAGAATCATTAAAATAAGCAGGAACTGTAACTACAGCATTTTTAACAGTTTGTCCCAAAAAGGCTTCAGCTACTTCCTTCATCTTCGTCAAAACCATAGACGAAATCTCCTCAGGAGCAAACTGTTTCTCTTCACCTTTATATTGGACAACGATCATGGGCTTGTCGCCTGGACCGGAAACAACCTTAAACGGCCAGTGCTTCATGTCACTCTGGACAGTAGGGTCAGAGAATCGACGACCAATTAAACGCTTAGCGTCGAAAACGGTGTTTTGCGGGTTCATAGCCACCTGATTCTTGGCTGCGTCGCCGATAAGCCGTTCTGTATCTGTGAAGGCAACGTAGGATGGTGTTGTTCTGTTGCCCTGATCATTTGGGATGATTTCTACACGATCATTTTGCCATACCCCAACACAACTGTAAGTTGTGCCGAGATCGATGCCAATAGCTTTTCCTTCAGCTTTAGCCATTATAGAACTGTGAGTATTTCAAGAAACAAAGGTTGGTTTTTTCGAAAGGAGATTGGAGAGTTATTTGGAGAGTGTTTACGGAGATTTTTCTTTGTTCTTTGGTTTTCGTTGTAGCAAAAGGCGTGGCAATGTGGGTATATATATGATTCGGAGGGGAAGGGTCGAACAAATTCTACTGGGTTCGGGAAGAAGTACACGTTGCGGCGACGGAGAAGGAACGGGATTACACCAGAAAATTCTGGAGAGAGCGGGAAGCTGATGAGGTGTTTGCAATCTGGACTTAATGATTTGAGCTTTAGGCTATGGGCCAACATTCAGCCGCTATGACTTTGGGCCTCCAGATGATCAAAGTCAGCTAAAATTGCATGGGGCGCCCTATTTGGTCGCCCCTTTTTTAACTTGTATCCGTTTTGTTATTCCGTTTGTCTCACGACCCCAAAATCAACCCGGTCGTGATGGCACCTATCATGGAATTAGGCTAGCCGACACATTCCCAAAATAATTCAACATTTCATTAAAATTTAACTAACAACCTTTTTCATACTGAAATTTCCATAAAAAGGAATAAATTCAAAACCAAAATGCGAAAATAAAAGCCCGACCTCGGGTGTCACTAAGTCATGAGCAAATACTACAACTGTTCCGAAATAAAATAAGACTAAAATAGTTTGGAAATCAACTACTAATGACTATAGGGAGATAGGGGGGAGAAGAGCAAGGCTACGAACGCCATGAAGCTACCTTGCCAACTCCAAGTATCCGCGGCGGATGAGAATCGACGCTTGCTAGCACGTCCAGCAATCCCTGGATCTGCACACAAGGTGCAGGGAGTAATGTGAGTATGCCAACTCAGTAAGTAATAAAGGTAAATAAAGACTGAGCAGTCGGAAACACGTAAATCCACATCAAGAAAACTCAGTAAGTACAACATGCTTTCAAACCGGTATATGAGTCAAATCATCTCGTTTAAAATCCAGTTTTCAGTAAAAATCATTTGAAGATGCCTTTCAACAGTTTCAACAGAGGCTCATAGCCCGTTTAGCCAAGCTGTAAAAATCAGCTTATTTTGAGAAGTGTTTTTTTTCAGAAGTGCTTTTCTCAAAAGTACTTTTGGTGAGAAGCAATTTGTGTTTGGCTAATTAGTTTGAAAAGCACTTCTGAACAGCAATTAGTGTTTGGCCAAGCTTTAAAAAACTGCTTTTAAGTGTATTTTTCTCAAAAGTGCTTCTAAAAAAAGTGCTTTTGGAGAGAAGCTACTTTTTTCTGCTTCTCCTCAAAAGCACTTTTTTTCCTTCCAAAAGCTTGGCCAAACACCTCAATTTTTGGCCAAAAGTGCTTTTGGCCAAAAAAAAAATACTTTTGGCCAAAAAGAAGCTTGGCCAAACAGGCTATCAATGCGATTAAGAGTAAAAGTGATGAAAATCATAAAAACAGCCCCTCAGATAGAAACATAGTTCGTATACAGCCCATCGGGCAAAATGAATCATAAACTGCCCCTCGGGCATAACATCACTCAGAATCAGCCCCTCGGGCAAACCTCACAGTCACTCGTAAACAGCCCCTCGGGCACAACATGAATCAAGAATAGTTCCTCGGGCAAAACATCATATCACTCACTCAGGGTACCCGCGCTCACTGGGGGTGTGCAGATCCGGAAGGGCTCCTACAGCCCAAGCGCTATGACAAGCCACCTCGTGGCATAATCAATCAGGCCCTCGGCCTCTCATAATCACAAATCAGTAACATGCTGCGGCGCGCAGCCCGATCCCATAATATCCTCACAACACAGGCCCTCGGTCACTCAGTCAGAAAACTCTCAAGCCGCTCGGGCTATCAGTAAAACATGGTGCTCAGTCCAAAATATCATTTTATGCATCAAAACGGAGTAATAAAGACTGAGTTGTGAAATCAGTAAAATATAGCATGACTGAGTACAACTCTTACGTCAAAATAGTGAGAAAATAATAGAAAAGGCCCCTAAGTGTCCAAACAGCTTGGCACGAGGCCCAAATATGGCATTCAGCCCAAATTATAGGAATTCTTTCTAAAACACATATCATATAGTTTTCAGTCAAATACGCAACTTAATAAATGCTACGGGACGGACCAAGTCACAATCTCCAACGGTGCACGCCCACACGCTCGTCATCTTGCACGTGCGTCACCTCAAAATAGTGAAACGATGTGAAATTCGGGGCTTCATACCCTCACGGCAAGATTTGCAATCATTACTTACCTCAAACCGGTCAAATCCCTACTCCGTGACGCCATTGTCTCTAGAATCGGCCTCTGAACGTCCCGAGTCTGACCAAAAGCAATACAATGCAATCAATATAGGCCAATGAACCAATTCCATACGAAAAATTATCAAATTATACCAAAATCCCGAAATTCTCCCAAATTCGGCCCCCGGCCCACATCTCGGAATCCGACAAAAATCGCAAAATCATAAACTCCTTTCACTCCCGATTCTATACATACCAAATTCATGAAAATCCGACCTCAAATGGTCCCTCAAATCTCCAAATTAAACAGTGAGAAAATCATCAAAAACACAAGTAATAGAGCCCAAGAACTTACCTCACTGATATCTCTCGATTCCCTCTTGAAAATCACTGCCCAAAGCTCAAAATTCGGCCAACAATGGTGAAGAATGGGCAAAAATTCGCGAAGTACGGATTTTATACTTTCTGTCCAGAAGTCTCGCACCTGTGGTCCACACTCGCGCACCTGCACTGCCGCATCTGCGGATTCCACTTATCCGCCCATTTCAACCCCTCACACCTGCGGGCTCGCAGGTGTGACAACACCTCTGCACCTGCGCTCAAGCTCCAATTAGCCAATTTCTGCATCTGCGATCTCCTTTTCGCATCTGCGGCCTCGCACCTGCGGTCCCCAATCCGCAGGTGCAGAAATAACAGCAGCAGCAGCTTCAGCTACACAAACTAAAATTCCAATTTTTCTGTTAACCATCCGAATTCATCCCGAGGCCCTCGGAACCTCAACCAAAAATACCAACAAGTCACATACCACCATTCAAATTTATTCAAACCTTCGGAACACTCCAAACAACATCAAAACACCACATCAGCTTTAGCCATTATAGAACTGTGAGTATTTGAAGAAACAACGGTTGGTTTTTTTTTTCTTTGAGGGAGACTGGAAAATTATTTGTGGATTGTTTACCGAGATTTTTCTTTGTTCTTTGGTTTTCGTTGTAGCAAAAGGCGTGGCAATGTGGGTATATATATGATTCGGAGGGGAAGGGTCGAACAAATTCTACTGGGTTCGGGAAGAAGTACACGTTGTGGCGGCGAGAAGACGGAGAAGGAACGGGATTACACCAGAAAATTCTGGAGAGAGCGGGAAGCTGATGAGGTGTTTGCAATCTGGATGTAACGGATTTGAGCTTTGGGCTTGGGCCAACATTCAGCCGTTATGACTTTGGGCCTCTAGTCAAAGCTGACAATCCAAGTTTAAAGGAATTTTTATCTAGCTATACTATAATAGAAACCTATTTACTACCTTTATTTAGGTTCCATGTTAATTAATTTATATACCTATATTTACTAGTTCTATACAAAATCATAAAAAGGAGAAAATGAAACATACCTTAAATATAACGTATCAGTTACACATAATCCCCCTACATTTAAGATTCTTCTCTCTTTCTTTAACAATTACCCATATTTTTACTTACCCACCGCAAGATTTCTCCCACTGATACCCAAAATCTTTCTAACCCAAAAATCTCGCTTACTCACTCCTCTTCCAAAGCTTTTGATATCCGATTTCTCTCTTTCAATCGTCCACTGTTATAATCCCAAAATTGCAGATTCTTTCCTCTTCCAAAGCTTTTAATATCTGATTTCTCTCTTGTTTTGAATCTTGTTTTCTTATTTTCCAAAATCTTTATTCTATGTCACTTGTATATGATACATCAATACCCAAAATAATACTTGATACAATACTAATACAATTATTATATTAGATTTTTGGTGTAGAGTTGTGATTGAAACTTGAAGAAGATGAAGATCATAATTGTATCACAATTTTTCGGAAATGTATCACGATTGTATTATAATTGTATATGTATCATAATTGTTGAAGGGATTGTATTATAAATGTAGGATAATTGTATATTCATGTATATTGTTACGAGCAGTTGTGAGTTCGTGAAGACTTTCACGATTTGTATCACAAATATATGATAATTATATATTAATTTATTAGTATTGTATCGGGTATTATTTTGGGTATTAATGCACCATATACAAGTTAGACACAATTGTGATACAAATATGATACAATTATGTTTTAGGCATTGATGTATCCGATATAATTCAAATACAATGATACAATTATCGTACAATTTCTGAATCTTTCTTCGTTTTCAGTGTTGTCCAATCTCCCAGCAAAAGAACGATACAGTTGATGATTTTTAATAATATAAAATTGTTGGCAATGGTAGGAAGAGAAAAGATGGAGATTCTGGCGTAAATTAAGGGATTTTGATGTAAAAAAAAGGAAGGAGAGAAGAGGAGAGGGAAAAAAAGAAGGAATCCTTTAATTGAAGGCAATAATAATGGGGTAAGAGCCATTTAAGGAGCAATCTACATAATTTGTAAGAAAAACCTAGATACTTCTTAAAAACTACAAAACATAGAGAAGATAGGTAATTAAGTTTCTAATATAGTATAATTAGGTAAAAATCCCAAGTTTAAATATGCTTATTCGTGTTTCATTTGTATCAAACTTATTTAAAAATAAAAATAAAAATTAAGGTACGCGCATATAAAAGATATACTGTTTGTTGGACTAGGGAAGAAAGGAGGGAGATACACAAGGAGTTTGTTTCGTACGGAGGGTGGTGATTTTGGGTTTATCTTAGTTAATGAAATTTTTTACTGGAATTCCAGCATAATATACTGGAGTACCGGTCCAGCATAATATGCTGGAAGATCATACACAGGTGCTCGAATCTCTAGTATATTATGCTGGAACTTTCCGCGTGTTGGAGTTCCAGCATAATAAGCTGGAAGTTCATACACAGGTGCACCGATCTCCAGTATATTATGTTGGACCGGTCCCTATTGTAGCAAAATAGTGGCTATTTTTCAATGACTTTACAAACGCTGGCTATTTTTGAATGACTAGTCCAAAAACTGGATAGCCCGTGCTATTTTTTCTTTGTCAATGGCCATGAAGACCCATTTCCTCCATATTGCACGCATATGTTAGTTCGGATTG